GATTTTTCCACACAAGCCCATCGAATGTATGAAAACGTACGTCGTCACCAGTCCGAAAAACATTTTCTTGAATGACCCGAATGTATAAGTGCATTTTGGGGTCGGAAAATTTTTCTGATAAGGAAAATCGAATTTTCCATGTGTTATCCCCAAGAGCCACTCGTAAATTTTCTTTTATTCTACTCAACATCGATGTACTTTCAACCCTCTTCGAGGCTTGTTTGCGAAAATGGGGCACCTAAATCGGTCACTATCTGACGGTCTATTAGAAAGTATGGTTAAAATTTAAATTCACCATGTTACCACTAATATTTTTATTTACGAATTTTCACATAAAGATTAGCTTGTTACGGCTTCACCAATCACTCGTTACAACTTGACGAATCACGTGCGATTATCTGGAAATTGTTGAAGGTTAGCTGTATCGCGGAAAGAAAGGATGACGTAATCATCTCGTGGATTTCGGAACAATCGAGAAAGGACAGCGATGGCTCTAGTCATAACAAAACAAATGGCTTGGGCATAATGTTGTAGTATTTCGACAAACCCATGCAATAAAAATAAGTAGCAGTAAACCACTCCCGAAATACTGGTATAGGTTTTCACTCGAAATCGCCGAAATCACTACAAATTTTCTCGAAAATTCCAAAATCATGGACGATATCAATTTGTTACTCAAAACCGTAAATGCCGAGAAAAAAGATCATAGTATAAAATTAAGGTGGACCTTCAGTGAAATCACCAAAATCACATAAAAAGTTTCTGTCTAAACAAAAATTAAATAAGCTGGTGGTGCACATCGTTGTAGTAGTTGGAATACATCTATAACACCACACTGTGGAAGAAAATAATATAAAACTGTAATATGTGAACAGAAAAGTTGACTAATATTAGTCGAAAGCTGAATGGCGTATCGGAAATCACAAAATGGACTATTTATAGCTCATGTATACTGAAACATGACTGACCTAATACAAAAAGCTTAAAATTGAGTCATTTTATTAAAACCTTTTGTCTGTAAACGCACAAATAAAACAAACACTAAATAGAATGGATTTTATTTTTTCAATAATGTTTTCGCTTATAAATTACGTACCTAAAATGATTTTAACTCGAAATTAAAAAATAATATACCTGAGTATATTCATGAACCTAGACAATTCATTAATTTCAATTACCTCAAAATATTTAGACTAGAAAATTAAAAACAGTTCAACAGATTTTAACGCCTGCGCTTTATGCTCATAAATAATTTGTTATATTAAATTTAAAACATTTGTAATCGTATCCTGTATTTTGTTTCCTAAAGACCTGTAATAATTGATTTCATTTTGAAACCAAATAAAATAAAGCAAGTGTCTAATTTCGTTAACGTGCTGTGTAATTACCAGTGGGCACGGATGTAAAGAGTAAGCGTTAGTCGCCAATTTGATAAACGCGTTTTGTTAAATAACTAACGAATGGTTCATGTTACAACAAAAATAGTAATGATCATTTTTGTTGGTAATAAAATTTCCCATTTATTTTTATTTTTTAACTTTTTTTGTAAATTCTATATTAGTAGAAGCGGTGGAGCTAAAATCGCTTAGTTAAATTTCAGTTTGCATCTTATGGTTAAAATGTTTAAGAAGTGGAAATTTTAGTTTCTGATTTCTAGTTTTGAGGGTCAAGAAATCCGTTAAAACATAAAAGTCAGTAATCATTTGTCGTTTCTTTTTAAAATATGTTTTGCCTTTGTACAAATTCAGACAAATTAGTTAATTTATTTATGATCTATAGAGATCATTAAAATCATCAAAATTTATTGTTGTTGTTTCCTACCCTGAGTTTTAATTATATGTCCGCAAATGTCATTTTGTTTGAGAGTTTGATAGTAATCGTAGGGAAGCCAATGACACTTTTAGGTGTGTTATTATGAAAGGTAAAAGTTTATTACAAATATATTGTTTATTCTTACATTGTAGAATATGAAAATAGTTTACTTGGTCAGTATTCTTCGGCGTAACCATTGATTTGAATATATAATAAATGGACAGCTAGTAATCCTTACCTGCGCGAGCACGATTTGCCGGAATCATGTGTGGTCGCGGGCAAACTGTGGATATATATAACGCTTATGACAATCATTTTGGTATCGAGTCGATAGCGTAGCGGTCTCACGCGCTTATATTGATTTATAGACAAGTTGGTGGCCAGAATCCTATTCCAGGCCATGTGGATTTTTAATAATTAAATTGCATGGTTAGTTATAGGATTTGATGTGTGCCGTATTAATAGAAATTCAATTTCTATTGATATGACATGCAGATTATAAAATCGCCATGGTGGGTGAGGTTTTCCTCACCTGTAAGTCAAATGGCACCATCAATCAACTTTAAGTCGCCCCGGAGCGCCACGGCAAACAATAATAATAGCCGCCCCTTCCCCCACACAAGTCGTACAGTCGACTTCAGGGGTTGAAATTCACTCGTAAGGGGGTGAATTAGGGAGAGTATTATCATTATTATTAGATACCTTCTTGCTTGTGATAGGGCATTTCACCGCTAGATAGATTGTAACAAAGTATTTTCATCTTCTACAGGATAAGAATTGACGATACATTTATGATTTAGCCTTCTGCAAATGTATACTAAAAAAGTTTCACTGGCTCTCTAGTATATCCGCATCTCAGAGGTAAGGTGTGTTAAGTCACATATTTCAGAGAAAAGAGTTTTCTTCACTTGTGGATTTACCCTACTAAATTATATCTAGTGGAAAACAAATTAAACTCCCTAGTTGCTTCATTTCGCCAAAAGATGACGGAACACACGGTAAGTCACAAACCAAGTATAGCAAATGTGGGGTTAATAATGTTAAGTCACATCAAAGTCAAAATTTTAGGACAAAGTTAAAAAATCTAACAAAACATCAAAATAAATTGACCAAACAATTGACTTTTGCAAAGACTCCAATATTTAGTAAATTTGCGGTTTCTTTACATTTGTTAAAACCATTAATGAACTTTAAAATGCCTCTCCCGACAAATGTAGATTTGGTGACTTAACACACCTTGGGTCCTATGATTGAACGTTTACGTTATCCGTAACGTACATGTTAGGCTCAGTTTTAACAGTAATTAGGCAAGTTTGTATGATGAAAAACGGTTTCAAACACATTACTGTTATTTTCCGCCTGTTATGTTCTAATTTAAGAGTTTTCCATCATACAAACTTGCTTCGTTACTGTTAAAATTCGACCTAACATGTACGTTATGGATAACATAAACGTTCAATCATAGGACCCAATATCTCTGAGGTGCTGATATAGAATCAATAAGAAAGTAACGATGACATGGGGTAATCGTCGGCCAACCCAATAGTTGTAAGGCGAGGATAAGAGAGAGATAGCAAAGAGTGTTTGGAAAATTACTAGATTCAAAAGTCAAGCGCTTTTTTCGCGCATGAGTAATGTGAAATTGTCGAATAATGGGAAAGGTCAATACACTTTTCCACTTTGGAAAAGTTTGTTTAGACTAGTCAAACTTTTCAGACTAATTTAATAGAAACGATAAGTCAGGTACGCCAATGTTTGTTCCTAGAAATGACTCCTTACTAAATACTAGTGTTAGACTCTCTATGAGCTCAGTTGTCATATCAAATTAGCAACATAAGGATTTAATTTATAACCCACAACTCGGAAACATTTTTTTCTATTTGTAAATTTTGATGGATTTCTGAAAAAAAAAATCCGGGACCTAGGCTCGTAATCCCGTGAAAAAAATGGATAATTTTATTATCTGCCAAAATCACATACTTTGATTGCTATACGGTGCAAGCGAGAGGGCCGACCACATACTTTGGGTAAGTTCGGTTTGAAACTCGACGGATCGGACAGAGCGCGCACGGAGTGCGTGACGTCATAGACAGAGTTTGGTCTTTTTACAATCCACTGAACTATATATTAAACTGGAAGACCAAAGCCGATCAACAAAATCAAGCCGCATAGCGAGGTGATATTTGACACTTCGGCGCCAACATGTGCGTATCGAAATGTACTAAAAAGGATCATCAAAATTAAATTTAACACTTATTACATTCAACTAGACAACTTTTAATTTAAGAAAATCACCTAAAAATTATTTTTGATTAATACGCAGCTGAAACAAATGTTCCAATAATAATTATTATTAAAATAGGGCGTTATTAATAAAAAATAATATAATTTATAATAGTACGCCCGTGAAAAATGTTACGTAGAATGCTTAAAATTGACAGTCTGGCGCACAAATTGTCATGCGCACCGGCCGTTTTTTTCACCCATGTCGGCTGAGAAATTAGGAGTAGGGTTTATGTCATATAGCCATCCAGTTTAATATCAAGGTCGGTGTTACAATCTCAAAACGAACACAAGGGGAATGACAAATGACACTAGTGATAGTTTGCACTTGAATACACTGTGTGTGTGTGTGGGTGCGTGCGCGCGCGCGCGTGTGTGTGTGTGTGTGTGTATGGCACCTACTTTGATTACTATACGAGGCAAGAGAGAAATCCGACACGCCCAACATAGGGCGCGGCCATTTTGAACCCTGTGACACAGTTTACAGCAAAAGAATCAGATCGCTCACTCTGCGTCGGCACTTTGGATCTCAATGTTTCAGTTTATACACTGTGCAACTCGGATAATACAATATATGACAACCGCCTCTAATAAAACAGCAGTCTTCTGCGTATCCTGAATTTGTATCCCTGGAGTGGATGTTATTTTGGAACTTTCAACTAGTCCGAGTGAGCTAACTGATTCTTTAGCAATAAACTGTGACTCCAAAAATAATATTCACTGACACTGACAGCAGCAAGCAAAATATCAGGTGCGTTTTAATCATCCGCTCCTGCTTTCGGAATTGTCGGTTTAGTCGTTTTAACTTGTCAGATTAAAACAAGAAAACCAACAATTCCGAAGCAGAAGCGGATGATTAAAACGCACCTATTAAAAATATTGCGCCAAGATGTAGGCAACACGTAATAAGGGTTCAAAATGGCGGAGTTTTCTATCTCCTTTTAAAAGGCACTCAGAAAGCTGCACAGTGCGACCATTCTCCGTATAGTAAAAGAAAATCAAAGTATGTGGTGTATGGACTGTAAAAAGTAATTTTAATCAAACAAGAAATAGTTATAACAAAAACAAACAAGAAATAATACGTGTAAAACTGATTAATCGCCGATCAGAATATTGACATTTGACATTTTTGACACATTCCTGCAGGACACCCGCTGATCGCCATCGGCCAACTCGGGGAAGAGTGAGCGCGCTCCGAGTACGTGATCTGTGGCAAGCCGAACACAAAAGAGTACGCTCCGAGTGCCAAGACGACCACAATTGAGGCATACCGAGTGCACTCTGAGTACAGCGAACGCCAATCCGAACTCAGCCTTTGATTACTATACGGTGCAAAAGAGAGGTCCGACACGCCCAACATAGGGCGCGGCCATTTTGAACCCTATGACACAGTTTATAGCTAAAGAATCAGATCGATCACTCTGCGTCGGCACTTTTGATCTCAATGTTCCAGTTTATACACTGCGCAACTCGGTTAATACAATTATGACAACCGTCTATATTCAAACAGCAGTCTTCTGCGCATCCTGAATTTGTATCCCTGGAGTGGATGTTATTTTGGAACATTCAACTGGTCCAAGTGAGCTAACTGATTCTTTAGCAATAAACTGTGACTCCAAAAATAATAGGTCTTTTCCTTTGCATCGACAGTGTAGCACTGAGCTACGTTACTTCTGAAAATGTCGTTCCATCCATACAATTTGTATAAATGGAACGATATTTTCAGAAGCGGTGTAGCTCAGTGCTACACTTTCGATGCAAAGGAAAAGACCTATTATTCACTGACACTGACAGCAGCAAGCAAAATATCAGGTGCGTTTTAATCATCCACTTCTGCTTCCGGAATTGTCGGTTTAGTCGTTTTAGCCTGTCAGATTAAAACAAGAAAACCGACAATTCCGAAGCAGAAGCCGATGATTAAAACGCACCTATTAAAAATATTGCGCCAAGATGTAGACAACACGTAATAAGGAATCAAAATGGCGGAGTTTTCTATCTCCTTTTAAAAGGCACTTAGAAAGCTGCGCAGTGCGACCATTCTCCGTATAGTAAGAGAAAATCAAAGTATGTGGGGCCGACACGCCCAACATAGGGCGCGGCCATTTTGATGCCTTTGCCACAGTTTATAGCTAAAGAATCAGTTCGCTCACTCTGCGTCGGCATTTTTGATCTCAATGTTCCAGTTTATACACTGCGCAACTCGGATAATACAATATATGACAACCGCCTATAATAAAAGAGCAGTCTTCTACGAATCCTGAATTTGTATCCCTGGAGTGCATGTTATTTTGGAACTTTCAACTGGTCCGAGTGAGCTAACCGATTCTTTAGCAATAAACTGTTACTCCAAAAATACTATTCACTGACACTGACAGCAGCAAGCAAAATATTAAAAACATTGCGCCAAGATGTAGGCAACACGTAATAAGGGTTCAAAATGGCGGAGTTTTCTATCTCCTTTTAAAAGGCACTCAGAAAGCTGCGCAGTGCGACCATTCTCCGTATAGTAAGAGAAAATCAAAGTATGTGGCAAAAATCCAAACATCCTGCTTGACATAACCTGTTCGGTCCTGGCTTACACTATGGTGTACAAGCTTGTAAATGCAGAGTGGACCATTCAAAACAGAGTCCAACCTTTTATTTGACAGTACTAATTAATTTTAAGAAAATGCTAAAACTGGTCAATTTTTATTCCAAACACATTTTCAAAACACAGACATCTGTCATGTATCAACCCCCTTCCTTCCACTTTTCCAACCCTTAATTTTAAATTGGGACTATACCATGTGGGGCACATCATTACAAAGGTATTGCGATGAACTAAGATATAACAGGAGATGTAGCTATTCATTGACAAAAAATATAATATTCATGCTGCCAACATCACTTCCACTGTTAATCTATTATTATTCAGGCATGTTTTTTAAAATAGTTTTAAATTAATTAAACGCAATGTCTATATTTAATAATAATAAAACAGTTTATTTACCATAATAAAATTATTTTTTTTAATAAAATTATAAATAGAGGTATATAAACAAAAAAATATCACAAGAAGTTGTTTACATAAAACTTGTGTGATTAAAAAATATTATATTAAACATATATCTGGACATTAAAACATTGGAAATAATAATTAGGAATTACATTAATAAAATATATATTGTTTTTTTTTGTGGCAGATATTGCGAAAAGTAAGGATAGGTCAAAAATCAGGATTAGCGTCTATAATCAGGATATCTAATGTTGGGTAAGCATCTATAGGCGAAAAAAGCTTAGACTCCAGCGCCTCTACCGGTCACTTTTTCGTCCTCCGCTGGGCCATTTATAGTTTGTTTTCATATGACATGCCATAGGTTTTTCGTAAGATTAGGTGTTGAATTTTTCCTTTTTAAAGTGTGTAAAGGATTTTGTTAGTTTTAGTGTTGGTTATATATGTATTAATTAAACATTTTTATAGATAGTGGCAGTGTATTTATTTAGCAAAGGTATGTTTACCTTATATTACATTAACCCATAACCTAAATACATAATACTATTTTATCTTCCATAGGTAACTTCCTAGACGGTACTGCATTAAATTTTAATCTATGTAATTTAGAGCTGTCCTCTACAAACAAAAACTATTAATACGGAAACACAAAAAACGACTAAATACTAACCTCTATAAAAATAATCGTTTTCAGAGAAATGCAATGAACATACTCTCATGTACGGACTCACAGGCTTTCCAATTTTTAATTTTCTTATCCATTCCTCCCTCCGATCAACAGCTTCTCGTTTCCCTAATTTTGTTTCTACCAAAACATGTTGTCTTTTTTTGGGAAATGTATGAAAACTAAGTTCTTTATTTAGTTTTACCCAAGAGGAACACATGGGAACACAACAGTGATGGTTCATTTTGATAAAATAAACAATAATTTTATCAATTAAACGTCTTTAAAACACCATATACAAACAGAAACCGTAAGATTAACCTATATTATGCTTAAATCACATGAGTAAACAAAACATTAATGGCCCACTGGAAGGTTTCAAATTAAAACGGTAGGTGGCGTATCGCTTATTTTGTCAAGCCTATAGTCCGAATACACGTCTTCTTCTTATTCTTATTTTAGTTTAATGACCTCCACCATAACGGTATTTAGTCAGAGCAGGTAAATTAGCTTATTGGAAGAATGCTTGTCTTGTCTTGGCAATAAAGCACCCTTAAAACTTGATAAAGTCAAAATACATTTACCATCACACCATGTGACAATTTAAATTCATCAAATTCAAAAATATTATTACACTATTCTTTTTATAAAATAACTAATCACATTAAGACAAAATTCACTTTTCGGTGGCCATTCTTATTAAAGATCTTTTTCAAAAACACATATACATGAGACTCTCGATTCTGAGACCGCCATTTCAATGTTGACACCAGGGTGTCAGAATCGGAAGTCCGAATAAACGTCTAGAATCGGGATTGTTTGTCATTAATTAGATAATAGGTTAAATTTTTTCCATGTCAGCAAGAAAACGAATTTGTCAAACCAATTAGCCAAACATAGGCGTTGCGTTTAATTTTATAGAGGTAGTACACTATAATTAAATTAAAACTTTTACAAACATGGAATCCATATCGAAAAAAAAATCATAGATTATATGCCTGAATAGTCCATTGCAATACCTTCCTTATTATATGCCACACATGGTATATTTTCCCTATTTAAAAATAAGGAGTTAGAGAAGTGGGAGGGAGAGGGTTTACACATGACCGATGTCTGTATTGTAAAATAAAAACGATATTTTTCAGCAATTACTTAAAATCCAATTAATTCTGCCAAAATAACAAGATGGACTGTTCTGAGTTACCCACTTTGTATAAAATGACACCCAGTTTTAACCACTGACTTCTAATGTACACTACTAGCTAGGTACACAACAGAATCTAAATAACTAACATGGTGCACTAGAATTTCATAATATATAAAATTAAGAAGTATTCTGTCTGAGGCATCTGGAAAGTAAGAAATTTGTCTTGTAGATATCTCTAGTCACCTATGTAATTTACTGAAAATAGATAATGATAATAGAATGTTGCTAAAATTATATGTTGCCATGAAGCCGAATATTTGTTATTCTTTTTATATGGATGTTTGAAATACTTGTACACTACAGTGCACATCGGATTTTAGTGGAGTGATATACAGTGTCAACCACTGAATGTTTTCCAATGTTTTGCACAAGTGCATGTGAAAACTATTAGCTTTAGATATTATTCGTTTCTTGTTAGCCCTAATGCTAACTCTATTTTTTCACATGTACTTGTGCAAACCGTATTGGAAAGCATTCGATAGCCGAAAATAATGTATGCTATTACTTGTAATCTTTTGTTTTATTGGAAAAAGTTTACATTGTGTTAGATTTAACTAAAAATTAGCCAAAAATATTTACAAATTGTAGAATTGCCACTTCTTAATAATGATCTATCAGATAAATATAGAATATCTAATTGAAGAGTGGAAATTCATTCGTTTGAAAAAAAAATAGATAAAATTTAATTGATAGGGACGTCGATCGAAAACTAAAAATAAATTAAGTAACTTATGCCAAATTTCAAATTTTTACTCCTTTGGAAAAAAGTCAAAGTCGAAAGAAATAAAACGTCTATCAAAATGGCGACTAAAGCATACACTTTACAACCAACCTCACTTGGTACTACACTCGATCATTTCCAAAAGCCAAACTGACTATACAAAAAGTTTCACCGTTCGCTTGGGGTAGATTATCAATTGGTAAGTTGGAAAACGATTAAATTTAATTTAAACATTGTAACAAGGGTAAATTTCAAGAAAAAGTTCAATTGTTAGACAGAAACTCCCTTTCAAGCGCCGCCCCCATCATATTCCACTCCCCATCATCGACCTCGTCCGGCGGATCCATGCTACCCTGAGTGTCTTCCTGATCGTAATCCAACATGTCATCGACGCATTCGCCTCGTCTAAATTTCACGCTGGGCGATTCGTCTTCGCCCTCACTGTTGCTGTTAAAATCCTGGAAATCCTGGTCGTACGGCTGGAAGCATTTCTTTCTCTTGTATCCTCGTGGGTATTCGGCCGTGAGCGAGTCCTCACTACTACTGCTGCTCTCGGTCAACGCGTTTCTGGCGAGATCCGGGACGTTTTTGGCATCGGAACGGTCTTTTTTGGTCGCTTCGTCTTCACTGCTATCGCTTTCGTCATCTAGGATATCTTCCACCTGTTGAATTCGTCAACATTTATTTAAACAATAAAATATCCGTGTTAAGAATTGGGTATCTATTGGATTTTTCGTGGACTGTATGTCAAATAGATTTTTAACTGGGGATTGCAGGTAGAAAATGTGAAAATGTAAACCCAACCATTCACCCTACGAAATTAAGGAATTCATCCAACTTCTCAAAAGTGAAAACAAACCAAATAAAAAAGCTAAAAAGAAAAAATGAGCGCACGGTCTAGGGATCGAACCTGAAACTTCGATGCCTTTACCAATTAGGTCACTGCAACGTGAATGACACAAAAGCAATATGACCCTTTACAATGGCCTGGTAAGAAATGTCCTGGAATACTGGTCTATTATTTGGCAACCTACTTACACCTGTCATATTAATAGAATAATTAAAATGGTGACACGTAAATGCACTTTAAGCACCGATTCCATAGACATAACACATGTTATCAAACAAGGTTACTGCCTTATGCCATTCAGAGCTTGGAATGCGGAAAAAAAGTTTTGCTCATATTCCTGCAAAAATAATAGGTGGTTCAATCAAGTGTGGAGTACTACTTGTGTCTGCTCGATGTATACATCACTTTTGAACGTAAAAAGACACAGAACCAATTACGGACAAAGTGCGTATTAGGATCGTTTGTGCAAGAACTGTAATAAATTTTACAACTGCTAAACGTTTTAAAGTTTTACTCGTTTCGTTCGGTTTCTATAAGTACTACATGAATAAATTAATACATACTTATCTAAATAAATTAAATAAATAACTTAAATAAACTATCTGAAAATATACCCATAAAAATATAAATAGCAGAAAGTTACTGTCCTACTGTACAGTTCGTGAGCAAAAAGCATCATCTCGCAGTAAACAAATACATTTAGTTGAAACATATTTAGATAGACAAAGGTCAAAACTAGTGTTAATTTAGAACACCATCTTTATTTCGATATGATAAACTGAGGAAAAAATTAGTTGATATATCAGCCATGTTTTGTCCAAAATAGCACTTTTATGCGTGTGCCATTGCATTCTCATAAATTTCAAATCGATTGATCTTGAAAAATATAATATTTTTAGTTCCCGAGTTGAACCACATCAAAGGTAACAGTTGAACTAAGGTTGACTTATTGAAATTGTTTGAAAACAAGGATACATTACCGTTAGAGGTCACCTTTGAGATGAAATAAAATGGAGTTAAAATAATGATTGGTTTTAACTGAAAATAATAAATTTATCAGTTTTCAAGTTAGACCCCATAGATTTATAACCAAAACAGGTATGATTGTTTACAAAATTTGTGAAGCTAACATGACTTCATATTATAAGCACATGGCGTTCTTAACATTTTATTTCTGACAACAAAACAATGACAAGCACCGACATTTGTAAAAGAGTTGCAAGCCCATTTTATTCATAATTTAGCGGAATAAAATAACTTTTTGATGTATCTCTTACCGAAAAGCTAGTATATTAACAAAATAAATGAAAAAACATAGTTGGCCGAGGAGGTATATGGGTCCTTTTCAATAACTTTTTAATTTGGGTGATCTTAACGATTACACCTACATCTCTCAATATATTTAGCAAAATGTTTGCAAAGATTTATAGTTTGGTACCTGGCCGACTATGACAAAAACAAAAATTTACAAATAGTTTGTCTTATATATTTTTTTGTTTTTTAAACATACAATTTCATACCTCCGTCACGTGTCACGATTGCTATTTTCTTTCTATGTTTGTACCTTTGTCATTTAATATACATGCAATATATAATGTTTGTCGCTATTGTTTCATAATCTGCCATATTTTATCTGTCAATATAATGATAAAATGCAACAAAAAATCGACTATACATGTTACTAAATCTTGAATATTGGTTGTCATGCTGCGTGTACCCGATCTCCGTCACACCAACTTTAAGTTGAAAAAGTGACCATCAGGTGGCGGTATCTGCGAATAAAATAAATCTGATTTTGTTGCTGGGCCTCAGTGCATTCATGTCAAGCAGTAATTGTGAAGGCAGTAGTATTTTATTGTACGATTCTTCAATAAAACAGGTAAAATTTTGGCAGGTTTTTTTTTCTCTTCGGATTTCCGTCCCATAGGATATTTATTTTAAAACAGCAAATAGCGTTTTTATTTAAATATCTTTAAAAAGTATACCCTGGCCAATGTTTACATTTCTAACCTAATTGTTTAATATAGCAAATGCAAGAATTCAGAAAATCTATATTGAGTGAATCATATTACCGTCACGTCGGATATCCGTCACGCTGACATTAAAACGTGACGGAGATATGACGAATGGGACGGAAATATTAATTTATTTAAAAGGTTTCATGTCAAAAAATTAGAATTATATTGTCATATTTATTGTTTATCTGCTCAAAATGAATTTCAAACAGTGATCGAAAGTAAAAGATATTTTCTTTCATTTAAAATGGAGGAAAACTCTTCGGTATGCGTTTCCCTGAAAATTAGTTCAGATGATGTAACGCTAACAATTAGCCCAAAGAATGATAATGAAAGCGACAAATTAGTTTTATTAAAGAAAATGTTAAAAGACATGAAGGAGAGTGCGTTAGAACAAGTAAAAGATAAAAAGTTGAACAAAAATACCTTCAAAATTAAGTTAGGTACGTGACATCACTAACAAAGCAATATCCAAGTTAAAATCAGATAACTTAGCGAAAGCCAAATTAAAAGATTTTGAAGAAATATTGCCATCGACATCTAAAACCTTAGAATTTAATGTTGAAATTTTAAAAAATTAGTGTATTTTCTTGCGTATTTTTCTTTACTTTTTATATGTCCCACACATTATATCTCCGTCACTCTTTCATATTTCCGTCACCTCATGTTTTAGTGAAATTGTAATTCTACTAAGGCACTTGGAGTTAAAAATTTTCAATTTAACGTACTATTTTAGAGTTATTTAACTGTTTTATGCAATTTCTATAAGCTACTTTAGATATTTTTACTAAAAAAAAAACAACTTTTTTTTGATAAATCTGTAAATTTTTTCTCACTACATTTATTTAGATTGTAGTAGCACATTTTGTTGATGTATTTTTAAAAGATGATGGTACTTACTTTAGAAAAATATTACAACAATAATAATTTAAACGTTATCTAATTTTTTTTTGTAGTCTTGTATGTGTGATGGAAATCTTAAAATATAAGACATACATAGACAAATTTCTACAGAAAAAAAAAGTATATGAATATTTTCAATAACCAAGGCTCAAACCAAGTATTTCAAGCCTGTAACAATATAAAAAGGATGATATTAAACTGATAAATTAAGGTGAGATTTTCAAAATCACTTATAGTGCAAATTAAAAAGTTATTGAAAAGGACCCATATGGACCTAGATGGTGATTCTAAACAACTTTACTTTTGGTCTTATCTGCATCATAAAAGGCACTTTACTCTGAAGGAAAATAGGTTTTCTGAAAATTTCCAAGACATCCTAGAGTTCTCAAAACTGAAATTATTTCGAAAATTAGCCTTTAATAGAGCAGGGCAGATCCCTAAAAAATTAAAATTTAAATCGAGCACTTTGTACCTTTCCAAAATCGTTTCACACAATGTATATTCAGAAATCAAGTTGATTTAACTTCTGATCTACACATACAGTTTTTATACAGTGATATCCTGCCCCTAAATTGTCAAAGGCAACTGAAGAATTGAGACTTCTAAGGTATGAAAGCTTAAAAGAATAAAAAAAAATTGAATTTATGTGAAAGTGATGATGAAAAATAAAACGAATGATACTAAGAAATTTATCTTAACCATAATGAATTTGGTGAATAAACTTGCTAAACTTAATTTATTTACTCGCCTCTTTGTCCATATCAGCAATATCATCGCTGGAAAACGACATTAAAGGATTGATGGTATCCATAAACTTCCCGCTAGGTGTCCTTTTTCTCATTTCGGGCATCCCATGCTCTGGATAACTGATATTATGTTCTGGACTACTGCAATGAGGCGGGGGATGACGATTTTTTGATCCTTTGCTGTTCAATGGAAAAATCCTTTCATCCACGTGTTCCCATCGTTCAGCGCAACACCACAACCAATCGGGGGTAACGATTTTTAACTTCTTTTTTCTTCTACCTGAATTAACTTTCGCCGTACCTATTAAAATAATAAACTTCTAAGTAAGAAACCACAAGACGCACAAGATTTGTAAAATTTAATAATAAAATATCAAGTACCTGGCCTGACAGCCACCAAATGCGTCGTATCATCTTCGATATTCGGAGTGATATAAGCCCCGAGGCCCCTCGCCACCTGGAAGGCTTTGGATTGTTCCAACTTCACGTGTGTCGGTACTAATCCACTAAAAACTAAGTTGCACCCCATCAGTACGTTGCTGCGAACCTTCGGAATGACTTGTTTGAGATCCGGTACTTCTCCGGATTCCAAATGATCGTATTCATTATAGAATTCGTCATGGATTTGTTTTAGGATTTCTTCCAAGTATATCAAGTAATCGTCCGGATCGTCAATTTCTATTAGATCGTCTTCCGGCCTCTTTTGTTCCAGGGTACTATTTTTCTGGTCGATCGGAACTTTTTCGTTGACAGCTTCTGCGGAATTTTCTATTGGTTTTTCAATCTCCACTGGTTTTTCAATCTCCACTGGTTTTTCATTCTCCATTGGTTTTTCGATCTCCATTGGTTTTTCGATTTCCTTTGGTTTTTTGTTTTCCGTTGATTTTTTGGTTTCCGTTAAAGGTTTATCTTCGGATACTTCTTGGTTTTCATTGTTTGTGACTGGTAGTTCTTCGGAAATATTGGTTTTATCACTTTTATCGGAATTGCTGAGATCTTTTTCGATTTTCTGTAGAAATACATAAATTTATTGCCCAAACTTTTTTTAACTTTGTTTTAATTATTGAGGTGATAATTATTTAGTTTAAAAGTCATCTCCTTCATTGAACAGTTTAATTTTTATTGAATGGGTAAACCACAGCTCTCAGCAAGTCGAGATTTATCGGGTTAACATATAACATATAAGATGGGAAAATAATGAAGCAGTCAGCTATCATACTATTTTTAATTAATAAGAAAAAAAACAGTTAAAAATTGTAAAAGATATTTAAAATACATAGTATAATTAATCAACACAAATGTAATGAACTTCATAAATAATAATATACGATTATTGTTAAAAATCAAATATTCAGTATACAATCAAAATTAAGAAACTTCTTTACATTGCAAAAATCAATTTCGGTTAACTTTTTTTAGATGTGTATTCTTTATTGAATAGTTTTATTGACACATGATTTATTTAGTGGCCGAGATCAAAATTAACTGTGATAAGGTGAACATAAAGTTATGCCTGCCTAGTGTCGCAATTTCCTTAATTTCCTTAAAAAAACATGATAAATTGTGAATATGAAGGTTATTCCATATCTTAAATGTGGTATATACGTAAAAGAAAGGAAAAACTCAGTTTCGACCACAATGTTTTTTATTAGAAACAGAAACTGGGAGACGTATTCTAAAATTTATTAAAGACATTTAAATTATTAAACAAGAAAATTAACAATATTTTGGTAAATGATTAATTAACAATTTTTATTTTTGTTCATCAAAAAATATAGTAAGGAAACCACAAATGAGTAAAAAAAGTGAACAAACGAAGTTTGTAACTGGTTTGTTTGTTTTTTAATATGCCATTGTTAATAGCCATTTGTTAACTTTTTTAGTCCATTTGTGGTTTCCTTCAGCTCTTTACTAACTATATTTTTTTGTTCTTGATAAACAAAAATATAAATTGTTAATTAATTGTTTGCCATAATATTGTTAATTTTCATGTTTAATAATTTAAATGCCTTCATTAATTTAATAATATGTCTCCCGTTTGATTTTTTGTAATTTATATAAAACAATTTTTCAACTTCATTGTACAACATTCGTTAAACATACTTTTTCTAGTTTTTCTTACAGACCTGATGATGGTCACTGACCGAAATTAGTCGCTTTACGTTTCTAATAAAAACAATGTGTGGTTAAGTTTTTCCTCCCTTCATTCATGATAAACTGTAGCTAAGCGGTGTTTAAAAAAAAAACTATTAATTTAAAAATGTATTACATACATCTTCTTCATTATTATTTGTTCCGCTGTCTTCATTAAGGGTCTCTATTTTATCACCTTTGCCCTCTTCTTCGCCATCATTATTAAGTGTTTCCTTAACTTCCTTATCTGGTTTATCACTTTTTTGTTCTTCAGTAATTTCTACATCTTTAGTCTTACTGTTAATATTTGTTAAATCGAACCCTTTATCTAGCTTATCATTCTCGTGTTTATCTAAACCTGGAGGTGCATTTATGTCGCCTGTATGTTGGAAGAAATGGTAAGGTTTGACATGGATAAGGTTTGTTGCATGTGACCAAACATCTTCCCTATCATCTATGATGCATACCATGTTGTCTCCACATGGAAACAGTGCTCTGAAAATAGTTTAAATAGTATAACAAATTAGACCTAAATCGCTACTTGAAAGGTACCTTTACAGGTCCCACACTTAATACACCTGAGAGAATTGATGAAAGTCGTTTTAGTGATGCTTTCAAGTGGTAATTTAGTTCTATATTTTCCAAAAAGGATTGATATATGATGGCCAGATGTAATTTTACAAAAGGATGACAAATTCTGAATAAAATATATTATACGAGGATGGGATAAAAAGTTTCCGGCCTAACCTATAGTAGGCCCGATTTGCTTTCCTGTTCCAACATGTCTGTGCGTCAAGTAGTTTGTGTCCTGGGTATTTTAAAAGCTTATAAAGTGCGCCACTTTTAAAAGATGGAAAAAAACGAGATAAGAGCGGTGATAAAATAATTCCATATCAAAAGATTATCGCCGACGGAAATAAAAGCTGAACTAGATGCTACACTAGGGGAATCTGCTCCTTCATTTACCACAGTTAAAACCTGGGTAGCGGACTTTAAACGTGGTTGTACTAGCACTGATGATGCTCCGCGTTCTGGCAGGCCAAAAACGGCAATTTCTGAAGAAATGGTGCAAACCGTTCACAAACTAATTCTAAAAGATCGCAGATTAAAATTGGAAGAGGCTGTGGACATATCAAAAGAGCGAGTTCACTATATTTTGTGAAGTTTTAGGTATGAAAAGGCTATCCGCCCGATGGGTGCCGCGTTTGCTCACGTCAGATCAGAATCTCACGCGGCTAACCATTTCAGAGGAGAATTTGGCACTGTTTAGTCGTGATCCAGGGGACTTTTGCGTAGATTTATTACGGTTGATGAAACATGGGTTTATCATTATACCCCTGAAACTAAACAGAGTCCAAACAGTGGACGGCAAAGGACGAACCAGTTCCAAAGAAGGCAAAGGCAGTACCGCCTGCTGGAAAGGTCATGGCAACGGTCTTTTGGGATGCTAAAGGGATACTCCTAATAGATTATCTCGAAAAGGGAAGAACAATAAATTCCAAGTACTACAGCGACTTACTGGACCAGCTTAAGCAGAATATAAGCGAAAAACGCCCTGGTTTGGCAAAAAAGAAAATTCTGTTTCATCAGGACAATGCACCTTGCCACAAGTCCGTTCTTGTAATGGCTAAAATTCATCAGCTAGACTTTGAACTGTTAAACCATCCTCCGTATTCGCCAGACCTAACCCCGTCAGACCTAACCCCGTCAGACTTTTATTTGTTTCCACACCTAAAAAAATTTCTTAGTGGCAAAAATTTTTCCACGGATTTAGAAATAATTGCAGCCACAAACGCCTATTTTGACGAGTTGGATAAATCAAACTACAGTGACGGTATTAAATCGCTTGAACATCGTTGGGTCAAATGTATTACCCTGCAAGGGGACTATGTAGAAAAATAAATTCTTATTAAGTCACTATTGTGTTGCGTTCTATGTTAGGCCGGAAACTTTTCATCCCATCCTCGTAAATCCAATATAAAAAATAACACACACTCTAATAAATTAATATAACATTTGTCATAAAAATAAAAAGCAAGATATTCCTTTAAAAAATACCTATGAGATACCATTTTGTAAGTAAACTTATATTTTCTAATAAATAATTATATAATTCCTCGTCATTTTAAAATTGTACTTCACTAAAATTAAATCTTTTATGGACTTGATGGAAAAACTAATCATTTATTTTGTCCACTAAGCAGATATGAAAGAAAAAATTGGTCCGTAGCGTTATGTGCAGGAATAGCAAAACAAATAAGATAGTTTTAGAAGCTCTGAACAAAGTTCAATTTGTTTCAGTCCCTTGAAAAAATACGCCCCTTTTCTGTCCAATAAAAATTAAGAAAACTCTTCATTATTCTGACTGAGTTAAAACTTATTTCAACAATTAATTGGCTATCATTTCTTTATAAATATCACACAAATTCTATTGAAGACAAAATATTCGTCAAATTTAATTTTTGTATTTTAAATTTTTGAAAGATTGCTCCATTTATCAAAATATTTTGTACATTTGCAGTAAAATAATAAGGCGTGATCCATATCCGTTCTACAACGGGATGTTTTTAGGAACTGGTGGTGAATGAGGATATACATTTTGATTATGTATGCACTGCAGACCTAAATTTTAAGTAGCAATCACATGCAAATTTTTATTTTAAAGTGGAAAAGACGAAAAAGTTAGATGGAAAGAAAATCCAGCCGGTCATTTGAAATTTAATCCAAAAGCTGGATAAGTTCGGCATTATCCAGAGGTCTGGTCACCCTAATGATAAAACTTTGAAAACAATTAAATAGCAAAATAAGGAGAGTGTATTTATTGCTAACAGTTTCCAAAATTTGATCAACATTGTATAACTTTTTCGTAACTTTCAATTAAATCTTATCATATATTTTAATAGTTCTAAAAGTAGAATTATTATTGATAACATTATCTTAACACGTGTGTTATCTTTAGATAAACCGTTACTGATGTATAATTAAACCTGGCAATCAGAAAGAATAAAAGCGCATGTGTCGTAGCCAAATTGTAAAATCCTGCGTTTTATAAATGTCTTTTTGAAAAGCGAAATATTTGATGGAGCCCTAAATACATTTCTAAAAAAAAAAAAAAAAAAAAAAAAAAAAACTCCAGTCCCTCCCTTTTGTGACCATAGTACTGCTTTTTTTATTATGACTATTATTTTCTTCGCGGAGCCCTCACAAAGGCTTTGCGGAGCCCCAGGGCTCCGCGGAGCACACTTTGAGTACTGGTCTAGACATTTTACAAAAGGCTGCGAGATTGTCAAATTCTCGTTTAACATTCATTATTTTCCTATCTGGCTAATCGGATTGAAAAATGCCTAGGCGTTTTATAAAATGACGGTCAACATGGGGTCAGATTGTCAAATGTTTAAAATTATCTTTTGCTTGACATTCGGGCGGATGAAATGTTTTAGTCGTTTTATAAAATACGAATTTTACTTTAAAGTTAGGGCCATCAAAATTTTTATTTATGGCTTTAATGGAATTTAAACATAATATTATCAGGCGCGTGAGTTATTGTAAAGGTGGGTCAAATTGTAGTGGATAGTGCCGCAGGCAAAGCCTTCTCTGGTTCGCACTGGAATTTTTTTTGGAGTGTTGAGCACAAACTATTTTTTTTTTTTTTTTTTTTTTGACTTTGGCTAGTGAAAAAAAAATTATATATTAAAAATTTATACACCGAAACACAAGACAAAACCTAAACAACTTTTAGCGGATCCTTCTGTTAGGGTTTTTATTTTCACGGAACTATGATGCTGATACTTCGTAGGCCTAGGTGCTTTCGAGTACGTGTATTATCATAGATTCATTGGTCGGCCGTCGACAATTACTTGTCTCTTTTTAACTTCAAGGCGGGCGTATATGCTGTTATATCTCTGTCTAATTGCAATGTATTTTAGACATTAGTAATCTTGCCTCCATTGGTAAAAATTGGGGAATTTTTACACGAAAATGTTTTTTGTACTTTATTAAAGATAGTTTATTATTAAATATTGTTAGAAATACATTAGGTGGAGAAGCTGCGCCTGAATATTATAACCAATATTTTACATATTTTTTTAATAAAAAGAATAAATAAGAAAACTTAAATAAAACAACACTTGCTGAGTTTAAAAGAACCAATCATAGTCTTAGATAAGGCTGTATAATTTCTGTACTGTTTTTTAATCAAAATACAACTTCTATAGATAATTATTGATAAAGAAATGCGGTTTTGCTGGGTTGCCTATTAAAATATGGCTTTTTAATATCACTTAAAGGTATATTTCTGTTATTTATAGAAGAAAACTCTTTCAACTAGAGTTGTTTGTGATGATATTCTCTATAATTTTGGTAATCACGTAATTTCTCTAAAAAAACATGGACAGTAATGCAGAAATTTGAGGAAAAGTGCAGAATTTGATTTTTTCAGTTTTTTGTTGGCAATGAAGTCATGAAATATTGTTTTGAATAATTTTTATCTGTAACACATTTTAAAATGATGGGCCCCACTCAATAATTTGATAACGTTACAATATTATTTGCACTTTTCCTCAAATTTCTCAATTACAGCCCATTTTATAGATATAATTTAAATGATAAAAATTATAGAAAATAATATCACAAACAACTTTTATCGAAAGAATTTTCTTCTATAAACAATTATAACAGAAATATACCTTAAAGTATAAAAAAGTACTATAAAAGTACTTACGGCCTTATTTTGATAGGCAACCCAACGTATTTCTCTATAAATAATTATCTATAAAAATTGTATTTTGATATAAAAACAAATGAGTGCAGAAATCATACGGTCGGATCTTAAGACTAAAAACATGGACCACTGAAATGACATCTACTGTGGCATTTTCCCCATGCCTTGAAACCAAGACATTTGTTTGTACAGCATTGAACTTTATTAGGTTTTCACTGGCCTTCTTTAAACCCTTGTCTCCCAAATTAAAAAACCCTAAGTAATAACTTCTCTTAACGTAATAATGGTATTTCCTTGATTTAAGTTTGACATACCAACTGAGTTAAGTTGGTCCCTAAAAAATGTTGATTTAAAGTCCGTGTTCAGTGCCTATCTGGTATACTCCATTTCGTACATCAAAAATACTGAATAACACAGCTTTAGGGTCAAGCGGATAACAAGCAAATTTTAGAAATGCTATAGAAATATGCTCTCCCATCTGCAAATCTTTTTTTTGTGATTTGGACCATTTAGTTCTACAGGTTTTTTATCTATTTTGTATTGTGCTTATTACTTTTTCTTTACAGCAAAGATTACACTTTCCTCTAGTTCTATCACTTACTGCGAAATTACACATTGCACATTTAGTTTGTTCTTTATCATTTTCTGAATTTGAACAATTTTCATTTATACTGTCATGGGAATTCCTAAGCCGCCTCTGTCTAAGCAAGCGACCTTCAAGTCTGTGCCACCCGACTCATGCTCGAAACGACGGAATCTTCTAGGTATGCCGCTG